AAAGGATGCATGTCATCTTGCTGTTCCAGGAGTCTTTAATGATGCTTCCTTTTCCCTGGGCTGGCCAAAGTCCCCTCTTGTCTGACTGAGGAGAAGCCATGCCCTTTCTCTTCTGACCCTGGCATGATCTGATGAGTGTCGTGGAAGCCTGGCCTGCTCTTTTGTTTTCTTAGAAGTCTAAGAGGCCTCAGGCATCAACATGATTCCTGAAATGTGGAGTCGATTGAAATCTCTTAAAACCCTTCCCTGACACCAGAAAGTCTTCCTCAAGCTGCTGACCTGCTATCAAGCACTGTCACTGTGGATAAGGTGGAAATGCACGCACATGCCCAGCAAGCGTGCTGCACACCTACACTGCTTGGGAGCTCACCCCCTCAAAGCTCTTAACAGCCTCCAGGGGAACCATGTTAAAACAGCGCAATTAACTAGAACGGCTACAAACTCAATAACTCACCTACCTAATGAGGCAATACAAGGAAAATTGGGCCTATTTTAATAAGAATTTAAAAGAGAGCCGGGAAGTAAAGGTCAGATGCCATTTCTGGATCCCAGCTCTTTTCTCTTCCCTGTCTATGCTGGAGTAGTTAATACCAAGGAGATAATACACACTGTGCAATTCTTTATAATTCCAAGGAGGCAGCTAGTCATATTACTGCACTCAAGGGCAAGTGAGTCTTTCTGACCCATCCCCCCAACACTAAGTGCCTCCCCAGATCTATTTCTGAAGGTTTTATTATGCAAACCTGAATGGATTTCAATTACAATAATTCTTTTCCTTCTCCACCCTGACTCATGAAAGAGAAACTCAATTACCAGCAATTTGAGGTTATAAGGGCAGTTTTGTTTTCCCCTCCTCTCTGGAGTCTTGGCAGTCTAGAAGGTTCTCCTTTCTCACCCCCTCCTGTTGCCTGAGGGGCCATAGCTGGTTGGACACCACTTTGCAGCACGATCTCTCCATCAAGAAGGAGCTTTCCTAGGGGCCAGGAGATGGCTCATTTGGTAAAGTGCTTGCCATGCACAAGGATCAGATTTGAGTTTGAATCCCCAACACTCATGTAAAAAGCCAAGCGTGTGGAGCTTCCCTGTAATCCCAGTGATGGGGAGGCAGAGACAAGTGGATCCCTGGAGCCAGGAAATCTTGCTGAATAGGCAAACTCCTGGTCCAGTGAAAGACCTATCTCAAAAATTTAGGTGGAGAGCAATGGAGACATTGACCTCTGGCCTCCACATGCACCTGCATAAACCCAAACATGCATGCATGCTTATCAATCACACAGCCCTCCCATTCTCACGCTCTCCCCTTGACTTTTAGAAAGGATGCATTCTGTGGTGGCCAAAATTGCGGGCAATTTTGCTGTGGGACAGAGCTAACACTTTTCAAAGCTAACTATTCAACTGTAGGGTCTATGACAGGAATATAAAGCCAGCCCTCAGTATCTTGAGGAGATTAGGCACAGGCTGCCAAAGATACCAAAATTTGCAGGTGATGAGTCCTTAAATAAAATGGCACAATATATGCATATAATTCAGGAACAACCCCCCATATTCTTTAAATCATCAAGCCAGGCATGATGGTACACACACTGAGGAAGAAGAAGAGTTCAAGGCTAGCCTGATCTACATAGCAATTTTAAGTCAGTCAAAGGTGCTTGTCTCAAATCAACCAACTAACCAACCAACCAACCAACCAACCAACCAACCAATCAACCAATACCTACTGCAATATAAATGCTGTGTAGGACAGTGTTACACTATATTGCTTGAGGAACAACAACCACACCCTAAAAAGTCTGCACGTGCTTAGTACTGACAATTCTTGCTACTCACATTCTCAATCCACAGTTGGTGGGACCAGCCCACAGACGTAAAAGCCCATCAGAATGGCAGTTTCAGGATGTGTGTCATTTCACTTGGTCCTTATGAGCAACCAGAGGGAGATTCTAGACTCATCATTTTATAGACAGGGCAACTGGGGCTAAGAGAGAGAATTTAGGAATGCGCCAAGGATCACATAAGATTAGCAGTAAGGCACCTGTAACACACCAGGCTAAACTGTCACTGCAGTTGCTCTAAACAGGTCCTGAGGTGACAGGGCTGAGATGACCCCAGAATGTGTGACAAGCCCAAAGCTTGCTAAGAAAGAAAAGGGGAGGCCCAGGTAGCATCCAGACTGGGGAACTAACTCCCTGACCACGATGCTTACTTAGGAATCTAATCGCAGCAAGAAGCTGGTCCTGGGTGAGCCTTACCTATGACGAAGTTCTGTGCACACAGGGCCCTTGAGAGAACAGCTACAGAGGGAGGCCTCTACCACCATCTCAGGCCAGTGTGACAAAATCCAACGTGCCTAGCAAAGCCCCTATTTCCACTGCAGAAGAAGCTGGATGGAAGGCCCCTATCCCAGGCATGTGTCACTGACAACCATCAACGCGAACTTCAGCCAGCTGTATGACTTCTGCTTCGCACAGCTCTGGGGAGAGCTCAAGCCTATGCCTGAACTCAGGGAAGTCTTCCAAGGTAGTTGCTAATGTAAGCAGGCACCAAACATTGTGCGCTTATTATACAAAGAGCACCAGGCTAGACAGTGGGACCCAGACACGACAAGCCCACTGATTCTTTAAGTTAAGTGTTAGGGGACCAAGACCTAGAACCGAGATCCAGTAGGTAGGAGGAGCTGAGTGCTGGGGTGCCTATTCTTCCGACTAAGGATGGAAAGGACGACGAACTGGCAGCCAGGACATCGATGAGAGTGAAGTACTGCGGCAGAGGAAGGGGCACGGGGAAGCCTGAGAAGGCCCTAGTCACAAACATTCCTAATGGCAAGAGTCTATACCAGAGCACAGCACATACACCTGGTGCTCTTGTATCAGACAGGCATGGACAGTAACGAGAGCACAGGACTTACCCAGGGGACAAGGCAGGGCAAAGAAACCTGGCATGATGTACCCTCTCCCTACCATTCAAAGTTTAGGGGACAGTTTGCCAGGACAAAGCAGCAGGCGGGTGGCAGAAGACACAGAGCAGTGCTTTCTCCTTGGTCTCCCTTCTACTTCTGGGTGCCACTGTGTGTGGGATGCCAGCCATTACAGCCCACCATGCCTTCTAGGAGCTGTCTTCCCAAGCCATTTCCCCACTAATATCATGTTATCGAGTTCCTAACGCGGGCACTCTAAAGGCAATGTACTGTCACCGGCATGCCACTGGGCACATTTTTTTCAGCAGGAAAAAGGCTGCTCACTGAATCTGTAACTTCTTTCTCTTCTTAGAACCCTGCACATGAGCAAGAGCTGGCTCAGGGTTGTTTGCCTTCACCTTCTCTCCACACATGCTCAAAGCCCAGTGTCAGGTCTCTCAGTAGAAGCCAGCACATTGGCCACACCAGTGTGAGAAGGTGGCCGGCTTATGAAGCAGTGTTGACAAGTACAATCTGGTCCTCAGAAGCTGAAGGTACAGACATCACAGCTTTTAGTTCACTAGTCTCAACCCCTAACTTTTTAGACCAGGGATCTGGGTGGGGGCGGGAAGAGGTGGCTCGGTTGGTGAAGTGTTTGCCTTGCAAGCATGAAGACCTGAGTCTGATCCCCAGAACCCATGCAAAACGTTAGTCAGGGTGGTACTTGTACTGGAGTGACAGAGAAAGGAGGCTCCTGGGGGCCCACTGGCCACACCGACTTGGCCAAATAACTGAGTCCCAGAGCAACAAGAGACTTGTGGAAAGCTGTTGAGGAACACATCAAGTTGTTCTCTGACCTCTGCATGCATGCACACACAGCTGCACACACATATATGCACATAAACACACAAAAACTCTCACACTGGTCCCTGTGTGAGCTGATTTTCTCATGAGAATAAACAAGGATAGCACCATCTTCACCAGCTGTGAGGCCTAAATGAAAATGCAAGTAACAGCACAATCAGAATCTGGCAGGGCAGTGAACAGCGAGTGCTACAGAACTATCTAGATTTCCAGAGGCCCTCATTTCTTCTCCCAGGGCCTCTTTCAGCTGAGTTCCACCAGGGATAGAAAAAGGGCTGGCAGCAGGGTTAACTCGTTTACAGCTAGCTTGGTCAATATCTGACCGGAACCTTGATGAGGTCTCCAAGTTGCTGCCCCTCGGCTCTCCACTGCCTCTGGAGAGCTGATCTGATCACTAGGGTGATCTCTGAAGACAGGTCATATCACCTTCCCTTCAACTACTCCAAGTTTGGGGAGACAAAACCAGTCAATCTGAGACACAGACAGGAGGGTGAGGGACACAATAGATACGCAGGTGCCTAGGCCAGCTCTAGCGGTCACTGAAGGAAGTCACCCAAACCATGGGACGTATGTATGTTTCTCTGGACAAGACCCACCGAGTTCTCATAACAGCTCAGGCTCCCATCTTTCACACTGCTTCCTGTCTCTCTGCCCCTCCTGCACTTTAAAATAGCCATCCGACCATGTAAATTCTCAGAGCGAGTGTCTGCTGGCGTCCAGCGGAGCTGTCAATGCCCATAAATCGAGGCCTTCCAGACTGCACTGCAGCTGTTTACTGGGGGAAGGGTGCAGCGGCCACCACAATACCAGGAGGACACTGGCCTGGCGGTAACTACTCTGTTACAGCCTCACAATTCACAGCGGCATTCTGCTAGGAGGAGGCTCCATCAAGGAGGAGAAACATAAAATGGGGAACCTGGGCTGTAAATAGTTTATTCCAGCAATTCCTGATGTTGGCTGAATCATACTTTAATACAGAAATACACGAAAGCACCACTCCGGAGGTGACATGTGTTGCCACCTCATTACTCTTTCCTAAAGGGTCTTCCATCAGAGAGACACCTCACCACAAATTACAGCGAAGAACACAAAACCTCCTCACACACTCAGACAGGCCAGAGAGAGTGGAACCTCCAGGACTCAAACAAACACAGACAGGGCCCATCCCTGGGCTCTGGGCTGCTTTGCCATGAAGGGAACAGACTCACCCGCCTTTCCCAGAGGCCCTGGCAGTCAACCCTACCTTCATGTTCCTTCTCTGTGGTTCCCACTTTCTTGATCTTCCGGGGAGACTTCATAAAGAGTGGAAAGATGGTCCGCAAGCCAAGAATGTCAACAAACTTGTGGCAGTTGTCTGTGCCCTCGGGCCCAATCATGGCATGGTCCAGTACCTTCAGAGCACTGCTCCGGGAGATCTTCTTCTCCCTGAGTATGAGGTTCATGAGCTGAAGGCCCTCGCCCTTCAAGAAGCGCTCGCGATTGGAGCTGAGCATCAGGCAGGAGCAGAGCGCATCAAACAGGTTCTCCATCATCTCCTGCTCCTCCGCTGTGCTGGGGTTATGCCTTTTAAACACGGATAACTGCTGCAGAAGCACATCGATCCCGTCCAGCTCCCCCAGCAGCTCCCTGTTTTCATCATTGTCCTGGAGCAGGATGGCCAGCACTTCACTGCAGTACAGCTTGTTGGCATCGAAGGGCATCNTGTGCAGACCTGGTTATTCTGGAACTCTCTATGTAGACCAGGCTGGGCTTGAGCTTCTACCTCCCAAGTGCTGTGATTAAAAGTATGCACCATTATGGCAGCTAAAGAATAAAATCTTATGGTGACACAGGATAATGTTCAAATTTCTACATGAAGTATCATGACAATTCCGTGGGAAAGGCATCAGAAGACTGGAGAAGCAGATCAAAGTGAGGACTTTCAGAAGTCTTTTCCCACAGCTTTACTAGATATATTCCACACCAGTTAATGTGCCCACCTAAAGTATACAATGCAATGGTTTTAGTGTCCTCACAAATGTAAGCATCCCACAACCAACCTCAGGGCATTCTACCACCCTGTAAGAAAACCACCAACCCTCTGACTGTTCCTCGTCTCCCTTCCCTGGCTCCTGAGCTCCAAACAGTCACAGATCTATGTTGTCTCTATAGACTTGCCTACTCCAGACATTTTTTTATTTAAATTTTTTTTCATTTTACATTTTAATCCCAGTTCCCCTCTCTCTCCCCTTCTTCGCCCCCCCCCACCTCCATCCACTCCTCAGAGGAGGTAAGGCCTTCCTTGGGGAGTCCAACAAAGTCTGGTTTGCCAAGTTGAGGCAGGACCAAGTCCCTCCCCCCATATCGAGGCTGAGCAAGGTATTCCACCATAGGGAATGGAATCCAAAGAGCCAGTTCATGTACCCAGGATAAGTCCTGGTTCCATTGCAATCTACCCCTTCCCCAGCAGAATCAGGCCACATAACTGTCACCCACATTTAAAAAACCTAGTTCGGTCTCATGCAGGTTCCCCAGCTGTTTAGGCAAATGCTATTACATGTGATCTCCATAGTGGGCACATCATTTCATATACCCATTGGAGACAGAGACTGTACTTTCGTTTTCCAGTTGGCCAGACTCGAATAATCACATAGAAACTATATTAATAACACTGCTTGGCCAAAGGCTCAGGCATATTCCTAGCTAGCTCTTACATCTTAAATCAACATATTTCTATGAATCTATGTAGCCATGAGACTGTGGCTTACTGGTAATGTTCTGGCATCTTTCTTCTTTGATAGCTACCCTAACAACTCCCATCAGTGCTGCGGACTGGTAACCAGACCTTCAGTACGTACATCAGTATACAGGCCCCTGGAGACCTTTAAGATCTAAAAGTAACAGGAGAGTACTTTCCTACAATATTACATGGTTTCACTTGTTTCCTAACTGGGCAGAGATGGCCAATCAACCACACAAATGCACAGTGTTTCCTGAGCACCTACTCAGCACTGAGGTAGACACTAAGACATGGCTTCTGCTCCAAAAAGTGGCAACCACTTGGGGAGACCAAATGAACGTGACACCACCAGGAAAGTGTCCCTGTGTTAGGTCCTCTACAAGACCCTCTGGACACCTTTCCTGTCAAAGATGAAAGATGTCACTGTGCCCTGCAGATTACATTCTTACCTGTAGGAAGCCAGGGGACATGAAAGTGTTCAGAGAAAAGCAACAAGAAAAACCAGGGTGCGCGGCCGACAATGCCACCACTCTTCTCCTTACCACAGAGGAGCGGGCAGTCAGACAGTCAGCAGCCCACCGCGAACTCAGGCCTGTTCAGACATTGCTACTGGAAGCCAGAGGTTTCTTGTTTTTAACAAATTCGAGGAAAGGACAGTAAAAATAACTTAAAGGCCCCAAGCACTAGGAATCATGTTCAAGATGGTAGGAGGGAGGCAGCAGCTCATCTGTGAGAAACCAGTGGGGTAGCAAATGGCAGGGGGTGCCTGTCAACAGGGGGTGAGCGGTGGCACCGGTGTCAGGGCTGGGGAATACAAGGTGGGAATGAAGATGACAGCATGCACCAATGTGGCCACACCAGGCCCCTGCTGTGCTGCTAGGGAACCCCAGCTCCACTGACAGCTACTGTGAGGGTGGACATTAGCCCAGGAGCACAGAGATGAAGGGTCTGGAGTGGCAGACCTTGTGGGCAGGGAGGACAGTTCAGAGACAATGGCACTAGCATAAATGACTGCGGCAGGGGGCTGAAAGGGGCCTATTTTAGAAATATGAAATTTTGAACATCAGGAGGAGGCAAACAAGGTTTGAAATCCACTGGGAAGGACTTTCTGTCTTCGGATGAAATTCTAGCAGGCTACACAAATAATATACTTGTTCTCACTGCCGTTAGACTTTTGCACCCTGCTTTACAAGCTGGAATTTACAGAGGTTATGGCTAGGGCAGATAATCATGCAGGCAGAAATTAGGAAACTGAGCTACCAAATGTGCATTGTTTAGCCATTCAGGGAAAGACATCCTGAAATGAATGACGACTGCAGACCAGGGCACCTTCAGCTTCTGTTGAGCACACATTGAAACCATTTCACAAACAACATAGGATTGCCTGAAATACTAAAAGCAAAGGAGCCTGGTTGAGCCAAGCCCCTCTTTTTTCCCTGCCTAAGCAAATTCATGAAACAAAAGACTTTAAAAGCAAAGCCCTTCTTTGGGTAGGCAGCGTAGGACATGTTTAAAGGGGGCAGTAATTGCGTATTGATCACCATTTAGGCAAGCTGCATTGAGGTGAACTTTGGAATATTCATTGGGCTCAAGTTCAGGCTTTTAGCAATCAATAGCTGTTTGGCCTGACTTTCTTGGGTTGACTTTATTTGAAATATTTATTCTACTGGAGGACAAGTAGTTTATCTTAGTCTTGTCTGGGTTCATTGGGTTGTCGATCATGCCAAGCCCAATGTGAACACCAGCGCCCACAATCTGGGTGCCTATGGTCAATGGCTGGGTCGTCTGCTCCTATCTGCTCATGTGTGTCTCCTGTTATAGTTTTAATTAGCTCACTCTTTATATCATACCCAAACACTTCTATAGTGAACACAGATTCCGAATGATTTCCTTTGCTCATTTTTTCTTTACTCAAATATTTATGAAACACCTAACAGGTGCCAGACACCTAGTCAAGCATGCATAGACAAAGCTCAGCTTGTGGCTTCTGAGGAGTTTGGTCCGCTCAACTTCCAAGTATTGACCCAAGAACAGTGGGAAATATGTCTGCCCGAAGCCTTGCACATGAATGTTCATTTGGCTCATTCCTAAGGGCTAAAAACTAGATACAAATGGACATCAGTATGTGGGTCAACAAACTGCTCTATTCGTGTGATAAAATACTACTTGGTGGTGAAAAAGAGAGGAACTATTGATATACAGCAAGGACAAATCTCAAAAAAGAAAAAGCATATTAGGTGAAATTGGTCAGCTGCACCGCCACTCCCCACCGAAAGCACAGCTGCATTGCCCCATTTAAACTGCGTTCCATAAAATGAAATCTAATATATAATGGCCAGAAAGCAAATCGATCGTTACCTAGAAACAATGAGTCAGAGAAGAGGATTTATGGAGTGCAAGGGCACACAGGAATCACTTGAGTGTGATAAAGAAGGCAGTTGTCATTATGGTGGTGGCAAGGGTGTGAAGGGTGGGTCTACACATAGCAATGCTCATCAAATAGACACCTTAACTATGCGCAATTTACCCCAGACTGAGGAAGAGCTATCAAGTCAGACAGAAGGGCTCAGACAGGTCCGCCACCACTTCCGGCAGCTCATCTGCTTCTCCCACGGCACTCTCTGTTTATGAAGTGGTGCAGTCCGGCCTCCAGGGCTGGGGGATAGATTGCTTTGTTCCTGTGAAACACTTGCCTGGTTCCCAGAGAACAGGTGCAAACTACTGGGCTCCATCTAAGACAGAACACCGATATTTGGCTGGGAGGCGGGGACGACACGACACACAAACAAGTCCACTGTATGTATACACAGCTCAGAACATGGACTATTTTCAGCCCCACAACTGCACAGCTGCCCTCCAGGCCTGTGAGTGTTCTCTTCTGCCTGACCCTGAGAGACTGGAGGCTGGAGAAGACTCCAGTTCCTGAAACATAGTGAAGGACGAGGATTAAAATGCAAAGTGGTCCAGACCTTCACATGTTCTTTAAGAACAAAGCAAAAAGAGAGCAGAGACCAGAGCAGGGAGGAAACACCAGGGTCCAGGCTATCCGCTCTGCCCTCCTACCTGGCCACGAGCCTTGGTCAGTGGGCCCACTGAGCTCCACCCTGCAGATGGTGACATCACCCTCTCTGTCACATTCTTGAGTAAGGAAAACCTTACTGAAAAATCTCAGAGCCAAAGCAACCGAACAAGAACAGCGACTCCTGGATGACTGTGTCGCTCTGCTCCTCCTTCTGCCTTTACAGTTAATAACCACCATGGGCTCACTGTGTTTCTGCTACACAACCCAGGCTGCACTGAACACATCTCTGGGGAGCACGGTGGTCTCCTCTCTTTCTAACTGGAACAGGGCTTACAACAGAAGTAATAAGCCTCATGTCAACATTTTCAAGGAAACTGACAATGTAATTCTTCCTGTCCCACCGGCTTTGCAGTTCTTAAAGAGCACCGAACTCATACAAGGACACACTGGAAAAGAGTGCCTGCTGGTAGTGCCTGAAGACGGTTTGGAGCACAGGCTAAAATTAACTCAGATCTATTGGATTCTTCTATTTGTAGCAGCCATCTCACTAGAGAAAGACATCTGTGGGGACGAAGGAGGAAAGAGCAGATCCATCTCATCCAGGGCATCTGGGGCAGCTAGAGCACCACCTTCTTGTTCTGCCACAATTCCAAACAGTATATAATTCTACATACTGGCCCCTGATTCCATCACATTCGTAACAGTACAATAAGCTGCAACTCCTCTGAATCTTATCTCTCCCTCCCTTTTTAAAAAGTATTTTGAGACAGTGTTTCTCTGTGTAGCCCTGGCTATTCTAGAACTCACTCTATAAACCAGGCTGGCCTCAAACTCAGGGTCTCTGCCTCTCAAGTGCTGGGATTAAAGGCATTTGCCACCACACCCAGCTCTGAATTTTTTTTTTTTTTCACTATGTAAAATAATACTCGGCTCACATTCCTACCACAATTCTTCTCCTGGCCACTCCACA